CATCTATATGGACTCCAGTAAGCCGTCCACAAGGATGCTCATTGTAGACTGGATAGCAAGGTTAGTTCACATGGAATACCTGGAGAACTAGCCACTTGGACACAGAATCGGCTCGAAGGTAGAAGACAGGTGGTGGCGGTAGAGATAACAAGGTGTAGAGCTGGATGAACATAGCAGGCCAGGCAGCATCAGAGGAGGAGGAAAGCTGACGATTCGGGTATGGACCCTGCTTCAGAAATGGGGGAGGGGAAGGGGACTCTGAAATAAATAGAGAGGGGGAGAGGCGATGAAGGAAGGTGGATAAAGGAGCAGATAGGTGGAGATAACACGGACAGGTCAAGGAGGCAGGGATGGAGCCAGTAAAGATGAGTGTAAGTGGGGAGTTGGGATAGAGATTGATCAGTTGAGGGAAGACAGACAGGTCAAGAAGGTGGGGATGAGGCTGGTAGGTAGGAGGTGGGGGTGGGGGTTGGTCAGTGAGGTGGGAGGAGCAGATAGGTGGGAGAAAAGACGGACAGGTCACGGAGGCGGGGATGAGCTGGGCTGGTTTTGGGATGAGGTCGGGGGTGGGGAGATTTCGAAGCTTGTGAAGTCCACGGTGAGACCATTGGGCTGCAGGGTTCCCAAGCAAAATATGAGGTGCTGTTCTTGCAGCCTTCGAGTGGCATCGTTATGGCACTGGAGGAGGCCCAGGATGGACGTGTCATCCAAGGAGTGGGAGGGGGAGTTGAAGTGGTTCTTGTCTGGGAGGTGCAGTCGTTTGTCACGAACCGAGCGTAGGTGTTCCACGAAGCGGTCTCTAAGCCTCCGCTTGGTTTCCCTGATGTAGAGGAGGCCACATCGGGAACAGTGGATACAGTATACCACATTAGCAGATGTGCAGATGAACATCTGTTTAATGTGGAAGGTTTTCTTGGGGCCTGGGATGGAGGTGAGGTGGGAGGTGTAGGGGCAGGTGTAGCACTTCCTGTGGTTGCAGGGAAAAGTACCAGGGGTGGTGGGGCTGGTGGGGAGTGTGGATGAGATGAGGCAGTCATGGAGAAAGTGGTCTCTCCGGAAGGCAGATAAGGGTGGGGAGGGAAAAATGTCCTTGGTAGTGGGGTCAGTTTGCAGGTGGCGGAAGTGGCGGAGGATGATGCGTTGAATCCGGAGATCGGTGGACTGGTAAACCCTGAGCCTTTTCAAGTTTCAACGCATCCTTTCAGGAGCAGAGAGACCAGAATTGCACGCAGTATTCCAAAAGTGGCCTAATTAATGTCCTGCACAGCCGCAAAATGACCTCCCAACTCCTCTACTTAAAGCACTGACCAATAAAGGTAAGCAAATCCTTCCCAAAACCAGCTCAGCTCATCCCCGCCTCCTTGACCTGGCTGCCTTTTCTCCCACCTATTCATTCCTCCCACCTCACCGACCAAACCCCACCCCCACCTCCTACCTACCAGCCTCATCCCCGCCTCCTTGACCTGGCTGCCTTTTCTCCCACCTATCCGCTCCTCCCACCTCACCGACCAAACCCCACCCCCACCTCCTACCTACCAGCCTCACCCCCGCCTTCTTGACCTGTCCATCTTCTCTCCACCTATCTGCTCCTTTACCTACCTTTCATCATCGCCTCTCCCCCCACCGTCTCTATTTATTTCAGAATCCCTTCCCCTCCCCATTTCTGAAGAAGGGTCCAGACCCAAAACGTCAGCTTTCCTGCTCCTCTGATGCTGCTTGGCCTGCTGTGCTCATCCAGCTCTACACCTTGTTATCGCAGATTCTCCAGCATCGGCAGTTCCTGCTATCTCTGGTGGTGGTAGAGGTTTGCTTTTCAGGCTGGAGGCCTGTGACCAACGGTGTGCCACAAGAATCGGTGCTGGGTCCACTGCTTTTGTCATTTATATAGCGTCCCAACCCAAAACGTCAGCTTTCCTGCTCCTCTGATGCTGCCTGGCCTGCAGTGTTCCTTCAGCTTCACACTGTGTTATCTCAGGTTCCAGCATCGGCAATTCTCACTATCTCAAAGTGAAGACAGCATCTGGTATACTTACCTTTATTGGTCAGTGCATTGAGTATAGGAGTTGGGAGGTCATTTTGCGGCTGTACAGGACATTAATTAGGCCATTTTTGGAATACTGCGTGCAATTCTGGTCTCCCTGCTATAGGAAGGATGCATTGAAACTTGAAAGGGTTCAGAAAAGATTTACAAGGATGTTTCCAGGGTTAGAGGGTTTGATCTATTGGGAGAGGCTGAATAGGCTGGGGTTATTTTCCCTGGAACATTGGAGGCTGAGGGGTGACCTTATAGAGGTTTATAAAATCATGAGGGACATGGATAGGGTAAATAGACAAGGTCTTTTCCCCAGGTTGGGGGAATCCAAATCTAGGGTGCATGGGTTTAAGATGAGAGGGGAAATATTTAAAAGGGAACTAAGGGACAACTTTTTCACACAGAGGGTGGTGCGTGTATGAAATGAGCTGACAGAGGAAGTGGTGGAGGCTGGTACAATTACAGTATTTAAAAGGCATCTGGATGGGGACATGAATAGGAAGGGTTTAGAAGGATATTGGCCAAATGCTGACAAATGGGACTAGATTAATTTGGTACCTGGTCAGCATGGACGAGTTGGATTGAAGGGACTGTTTCCGTGCTGTACATCTCTATGACTCTATGACTCTGTGTGCAGGTGGATTGGCCATGTTGAATTGCTCATAGTTTCCAGGGAGGTGCATGCTAAGTGGATTAGCCACAGGAAATGCAGAATTATAGGGATAGGGTAGGTGGTGTGTCTGGGTGGGATGCTCTTCGGAGAGTTAATAGGGACTCAATGGGCTAAATGTCCTGCTTCCACACTGTAGGAATTCTGTAAAAAGCATGTCCTTTATCCATCAAAGATTCAGTCTGAGGAATAAGAAATTGAAATGATCTGACAAAAGAAGGTGATTTCATTTCCATTAAGATCTATTTTATATTCAGTTAACAAGGAGAGAATGCTGAAAGCCCAGTCATCAAGATGCTTGAAAGTGGATAGGCGTTGAAATCAACGTTCTTGACCTGGTTACTTGATTCACCGACACATTCAAAGTACTTAAAAATATGAATTGAAAGCTGCTGAATTTACTTGAGACATGGACCATCCACGTTCAGTGTAATACTTTCCCAGATGATGATCATTGACGCTTTATGACATTTGTCTCTTCAGGTAAAGGTAAAGTTGCCAAAGTTATACACAGCTCATGGACTGCTGTGGTTCAACAAGGCAGCTCACCACCACTTTCCCAAGGGGCAATTAGGGATGGACAATAAAGTCTCACCCAGTCAGCGAAGCCAGCATCCCACAAGAGAATATTTTTTAAAAAGTCTTTGAGGACTGTGGGTTGCTGTCTCATTGGACAGAGATGACTGGCAGTGGTGTAACCTGAGAGTAATCACATCACAAACAAGGGGGGGAGATTGAGAAGGAGAGTAGTTTGTGGTAACTTCAGCCAGTGTAGGAATTGAACCCACTTGGTTGGCATCAGTTTACGACACAAACCAGCTGTTCATCCAATCGAGCTAAGCAAACGTCCTTGCCATCTCTGCCAGTCTATGGTACTGGGTAAGGGCTGTTTGGCACAGTCCGCTGTCACCAATTCTCCTTTGTCTTTGCTTTGACTTAGGCCTATTTAATGATAATAGGATGTGGATATACCACCATACAGTATTGACAGAAGAGTAGTCCTGAAGAAGAGTAATACGTGAAATGTTGACTGCTCATTTCCTCCAAGCCTGGCTTGCTGTGTTCTTCCAGCCTCCTGTTTGTCTACCATTGACAGAAGAGACTCTGTTCTTAGATAACAAGAATGTTTGTTGCATGATGATAGCAATGAATACAACTAAATGTGGTCATGTATAATGACTAGGACTTTACGGAGCTTGTCCTGATACATCTACTCCCTCTGAAAGTTTGAGTAGAACTCCTTGTCTCCACCCACAGACTATATGTATGAATGGGTGGAGTAAATGTAACATGAGCTCCTTCAGAACAATGACCTTATACAATGTTCAATGCCTTTATGCATACATAAAGTTAGCAATGGTTGCCAACTCTGGTTGAACATATTTCTGGAAGTTACATCACATAAACTCTTACTTCTGTCTGGCCTGCCCAATCAAACTGAGATTTTAACCCACCGTTCATATTTTTGAAACTGATAAACAAAAGAAAAATCAAAGAAATTAAGAAACCATTCCCTATTTTAGTGTCACAGCTTGCTTACAACAATCACTGGGAGATGAATCTTTAATTCTTGGAAACTCCAGGACAAGGGCAATACTATTACAAGAGGGATAAAGGAACAGTAGGATGAGCCGATTAGTTAAGATAAGGTCATGCTGGAGAGATGAGTGTAGAGCAACGAAAGCAGCATAGACCAATTGTGAGCAGTGACCAGCTTCTGCATTGTAAAACCTAGGTTACGTCATTTCAAATGATCATAGTTTCTGTAAAGATAGACATGGAGAAGTTATTTCCGTTGTAGGGAATCAACTTTAGTTTGTCATCAATAAGTCCAAACTAGTATTCTTTAGGAAATTTGCCATCCTTTTCCAAACTGGCCTTTAGTAACAACAGACCAACAGCAATATGATTATATCTTATCTGCCCTTTGAAATTGCCAAGCAAGACTCTTAGTCCAATGGAACTTAGGGATGGGCTACAAATGTTGGTCCTAACAGTGACAGCCATATCCCATGAAGGAATAGATGAAAGGACTTTGGGGGAAATCTATCTATTCAGAAAATGGTAAGAGTGTGGAACTTGCTATCACAATGTTCAAGTTGAGGTGAATCGCATAGACTTGGAGAAATCAGATAAACAGGAAAGTGAAAGAAATGGAAAAATATCTTGGCAAATAAAGCAAAATAATGTTGGAGAAACTCATCTGAATGGCATGGACCTGTTGGGCTGAATGGTCTGTTCCAGTACTGTAAATTACTTTGACTAAAGCCAACATTTGTGCACTTATTGCTGTTGCAGGTACAAGGCAATCGTAAACCCTATGGACATTCAAGTGTCCAGTGCAATCTTTCACACATGCCTCAAGGCGGTCACCATCTGGATGATCTCCATGGTCCTGGCCATTCCAGAAGCGGTGTACTCTCAGGTGGTGCAGCATCACAACGGGGAGAATGAAAGCTTCAGTGCCTGTGTCCCGTACCCGCTCTCCGACAAGCTGCACGCAAAAATCCACTCGGTGATGATATTCCTGGTGTACTATCTCATTCCCCTTGGCATCATCAGCATCTACTACTTTCACATCGCTCAGAGCTTAATCAAGAGTGCCCATGACATGCCAGGAGAAAGCAGCGAGCATGTCAGGCGACAGGTAGGTTATCAGAGACCACCATTGCCTGTCTCAATAGAGTGGTCACTTGTCCTGCCACTGATCTTTATGTAAACATTACATGGGTACGCCAAGACCTATTTGGGCATTCGTGACACTAGCGACATAGAAAATTTGAACAACAGTATACCATTCAGCCCTTTGAGCCTGTTCCACCATTCAATACAATCATTGGCTGATCATCCACCTCAGTGCTTTGCAATAATTGGAATAAGATCACTGGATTTGTAAACACAGCAGCTCAGATTTATAACACAATGAGATACAGGAGCAGAATTAGGACATGCAGCCTGTCCAGTCTGCTCCACCATTCGATCATGGCTGATATATTTCTCAACCACATTTTATAGCCTTCTCCCCATAACCTCTGATCCCCTTACTCATTAAGAACCTAAGTGCCTCTGTCTTAAATACACTCAATAACTTGGCCTCCACAGCCCTCTGCGGTAATGAGTTCCACAGATTCCCCACCCTCTGGCTGAAGAAATTCCTCCTCCTCTCAGTTCTAAACGGTCGTCCCTTCATTCTGAGGCTATGCCCTTGGGTCCCAGTCTTTCCTACTTGTGCAAAAATCTCCTCCACATCCACTCTATCCAGGCCTCTCAGTATTCTGTAAGTTTCGATCAGAACCCATCCCCCATCCTTCTAAACTCCATCAAGTACAGACCCAGAATCATCAACTGTTCCTCATATGACAAGCCCTTCATCCCTGGGATCATTCTTGTCAACCTCCTCTGGACCCTCTCCAACACCAGCACATCCTTCCTTAGATACAGGGCCCAAAACTGCTCACAATATTTCAAATGCAGTCTGACCAGACCTTTATATATCCTCAGTAGCACATCTCTGCTCTGGTATTCTAGCCATCTCAAAATTAATGCCAGCATTGTATTTTCCTTCCTAACTGCCAACTGAACCTATACATTAACCATCAGAGAATCCGTCATATTTAATTTTCTTTCCCCTTGTTTTGTTTTTATTTGTCCTCTGCTGGTTTCTGAAGGCTGCCCAATCCTCTGGCTTCCCATTAATCTTTACCACATTGTATGCGTTCTCTTTTGCTTTTATGCTGCCCCTGACTTCCCTTGTCAGCCATGGTTGTTTCATCCTCCCCTTACTAATTTTTTTTTTCTTGGGATGAATTTCTGCACTGCCTCCTAAATTACCCTCAGAAATTCCTGCCATTGCTGCTCTACCGTCTTCCCTGCCACGCACCCCTTCCAATCAACTCTGGCCAGCTCCTCCCTCATGTCTTTGTATCTTCCTTTACTCAATTATAACACTGTTACATCTGATTCCAGTTTCTCCCTCTCAAACTGCAAGGTGAATTTCATTAAGTTATGGTCAATGCCCCTAGGGCTCCTTCACCTTAAGCTCCCTAACTAAGTCCATCTCATTCTATATCACCAAATCCAGAATTGCCTGTTCCCTAATGGACTCCACCACAAGCTGCTCCAAAAATACCATTTTGTAAACATCCCTTTACTTGAGATCTGCTACCAACCTGATTTTCCTGGTCCATCTGCATATTGAAGTCCCCATGATTATTTAATAGTGCCTTTCTTATATGTCCATGACGAATATTAAGTACAAAAGAACTCCATCAGGAAAGTAGGAGAGCAATGAGGGGCCATGAAATATCCTTGGCGAGTAGGGCTAAAGAGAATCACAAGTCATTTTATCATACATTAAAAGCAAGAGGATAACTAGGAAGAGGGTAGGACCACTCAACGATAACAGAGAGAACTTGTGCTCGGAGGCAGAGGATATGGACAATATCCTAGATAACAAGGTGTAGAGCTGGATGAACACAGCTGGATGAAATTTTCTGAAGAAGGATCTAGGCCCGCAACGTCAGCCTTTTTGCTCCTATGATGCTGCCTGGCCTGCTGTGTTCATCCAGCTCTACACCTTGTTATCTCAGATTCTCCAGCATCTGCAGTTCCTACTATCTCTGGACAATATCCTAAATGTGTACTTTGTGTTGGTATTCACCCAGGAAAAGGACATGGAGGACAGTGAGATTAATGTGGGGCCTGTTAATACACTAAGATATTTTGAGTTCAAGAAAGAAGTAGTGCTGGGTCTTTTGAAGAGCATTAAGATGGATAAGTCCCCAGGGCCTGATGGGATCTGCCACAGATTATTGACAGAGGCAAGAGGGGAGATTGCTGAGGCCTTGATCAAGATCTTTGTGCCCTCTCCAGCCAGTCACTTGAGAGATCCCTGAGGACTGGGGAGTAGCTAATGTTGTTTCTCTGTTCAAGAGAGGAAATAGGGACAATCTAGGAAATTATAGACCAGTGAGTCTCACATCAAGCTAGGGCAAGATAAAGTTAGAGAAAAAAATCATAAGGGCAGACAATTCAATTTTCATTAATTCATTTTCTTAATTCTTTCATGTAATGTGGGCATTACTGGCAAGCCCATCCCTAATTGTCCTTGAGCAAAGTGCCCTTGCTTGGCCATTCAGAGGGCAGATAAGGATCAGTCACATTGCTATGGGTCTGGTGTCACATGTAGGCCAGATTACAAAGGAAGGAAGATCTTTTTCCTAGAACAGCCTTAAGGGAACCAGATGGGTTTTTAACAGCTGTGGGATGGCTTGGTGGCTTAGTGGTTAGCACTGTTGCTGCACAGTACCAGGGCCCTGATTTCAATGACAGCCTTGGGCAAAAGCCTCTGTGGAATTTGCCCATTTTCCCCATGTCTCTGTGGGTTTAGTCCAAGTGTTCTGGTTTTCTCTTACAGTCCAAACATGTGCGGGCTAGGTGGACTGGCCATGCTAAATTGCCCATAGTGTCCAGGGAAGTGTAGGTTAGGTGGATTTGCCGTGGGATATGCAGGGTTACAGGGTAAGGTGTTGAGTCTGGGTGGAATGCTCTTCAGAGAGTCAGTGTAGACTGTTTCCACAGAGTAGGGATTCCATTCTATGAACTGACGATAGCTTCTGTTGTCACCATTCTTGAGACCAGCATCCAATTCTAGACCTTTCTCGTCAATTTATTTAAACTCTACAAGCTGTTTTGGCCGGAGTTGAACGCCTGCCCCATGCGAATTAGGTTCAATTCTGAATGACCAGTCTGGTGATATGACCACTGTTCCACCATTACCTTTTCAAAGACCACGGGGCTGCATTTGGTCAGTATCATGTTTGAGGTTAACTGGGAATTGAGCCAAATTTGGAAAAACAGTAACAAAAACCGGGTTCCCAAATGCATTGTAAAAAAATCTTAGATGGCAATAGATTCAGGTGCAAGGGGCTTGATTGGAATTAGTAGCACATAAAGCTCATGAATATTCACTACTGGGACTTTGCAATGTTGTTAGGTTTACCTCACAAGATGGGGTGAACATGCCTGTCATGCTTTGTTTGCACTGAGCTTATTATTTGTACTGTTAAGTCAAAATACCCAATAAACAGTTGAAACTGTAATTCAGACTGCAGACTGCAAATTCTATCGAGATGCAACAAGAAAGGAGAACGTCTGGCTTAGGGTTCTGCACTGTTTTCATATTGTAAATGAGCAACACTGGAAGCTGTCTGAAAAATGAATACAAGTGTCTGCCATACCTCAGGGACTCTCATTCCCTCCTTTGTGTCAGAAAGGGTGAAATCCCACTCCAGAAATTTGTACATGCAATCCAGGCTTGCACTCCCAGTGCAGTACTGAGGGAAAACTGCATTGTTGGAGGTACCATACTTCCAGTGAACTGCTAAACCTGACCTCCTGTCTGGTCTCAGTTGGACATAGAATATTCCTTGCAGTGCTTAGGGCACATTGGGCAGCCCCAAGTCCTGCCTAATTTTCACACCTCAGCCGAACATCACTAAAACATTGATTTGGGGACAGTTCTATTAGATGAGAAGCTAGAACCAGTAGTCTGTTTAAAAAACATGAGTCACCCACTTAAAATAGAGATGAGCCATTGTTTTCTCTCAGAGGTCGGTAAGCCTTTGGAACTGTTGTCGTGAAAAGGTGAGGGAGCCAGAGTCCTTGAATATGTTTAAGGCAGATAGGATGAATTCTTGTTAAGCAAGAGGTTGAAAGATTATCAAGACCAAGAGGGAATGTGCATTTGAGTTTACAATCAGATCAGCCTGGATCTTATTGAATTGCAGAGCCAGCTTGAGGGCTTGAATGACCTAATCCTATTCCTAAATTGTATGGCTGTGGAGTGCCTGGTCATTTTATCTCATTGCTATTTGTGGTGTCTTGCTGTGTGAAAAATAGCTGCAGAGTTTCCTGCCTTACAGCTGTGATGACATTTCACAAAAGGATACCATGATTCTATGATTCTAAGTACTTCATTGACTGTACAGTTGTTAGGTACAGGCTGAGATGGTAAACGTTTTCATAAAAACTTAAAAGTGTGTGCGTAAAATGATGTGATGAAATTGTCACTCAATCCAAAGGCCTTATGGCTCTTAAACAATATGATCTTCAACTAATTTCATCCTCAGGCAGGGCTGAACTAAAATAAAAAGGTGGCTGTATAAACTGTTATACTGGGTCCATTACTCCATCCATACTAGAATAAGATATCCAATTCAATCCTTTAATACCACCTTGTTAATAAGGGTTGGTTTATTTGCTCTTGTCTAGTATATGGGATTTTACAGGGATAGATCAAATCCAAAACATTTGCTAATTATGTGATTGTAAAACTGAAAATGGAACTCATTGCAAAATAAAATTTAGTCACTAAACTGTACAGTGAATCATTCTTAAAAAACTGTCTTATTTCTTTGAATTGAACATTCATCTTCAGATAATAGAAGGGTGAATTATAAAACAATTTCCCTTCATGCATTACTGGAGACATTCCAGAGTCAGGAATCTATCCTGAATGTCTATCTCTCACTGGGGACTCCTTCTAGCTGATCCTTATCTGTCTGAGGAAACACCGCAAAACATGAGGAAAATGTCATTTTACATTGAAAGGTAGGTAGCAAGTCTCAGTAAGGGGAACAAATTGTG